TCTATATAATATGTAACTTTTTGCTTTAAACAGTACAGCACCAATAAAAGAGAAAAACTTAAATAAATTGCCTTTTTTTTTTTTTACTCCTTTTGAGGTTTTTTGTGAGCTGTAGTCTGATAAATATTTAAAATAATTTGTGAAATATTTAAAAAGTAACAGTTTATACAAGAATTGTACAATTATATGTTTCATTTCGAAGTATGTTATGAATTTATATATTAAATTGTATATTTTAAATGAATAATTAAACTATAATTAAAGATTATTGGAATATTTTTAAAATTATATTCATTAAAATGAATATATAAATATGATTAACTGTAAATCAGGGTTAATATAGTCAAATAAAAATGAAACTAAAATTAAAACCATAAAAATTGCTTTCATAACTAAAATTAAATGAAATCAAAATGAATGCGAACTACAGACAAAAATTACAAAACACAACAAAATTACTAGAACCCTAAGTAAAATGAAACTGTTAAATATGAAAATACTCAAAATATTTCAGATTCAAAATATTAATAAAAACTGTAATAGTAGGAGTATCTCAAAGATACTACAATTGAGGCAGATTGTAAAAACATGGCCCCCTTCTTGTTCACTTTTGTTTTTTGTTTTTTGAAAACCTGGCAACCCGTTTTAGGTCACGCGATATTCGGCGAGATGTGAAAGTTCAGCAACTCCACGTGGGTGTCTGCATGGTACAGCGGGAAGTAAATAAGTTGTTGTGGTGAAGATAGATTATACTGCTGTCATAAATGCATGCAAAATTCGTTTTCTAAATGAATTTCACTTATTGTAGAAAATGGCCGTTAACGTAAAAGCAGTCGAGTCGGTTTTGTTCAAAAGACATTGCTGAGATCCTCACTGAAGAGTGTGGTGACATGCTGAGGTGCTGTCGGATCATTCATATTTTATCAAGTCACACATTTATTCCAGCTCTCAAAAACAAAGGTGAGTTTCTTAACAATGCGTTTTGCTGCAAAGTAACTGATTCACCGCTAACTGAAACGCTCTTCAGGGTGGCCGGGTCCTAAATTAAAGTTCCGTGATTTTGCATGTCCAGCAAGATGACTGAGGATTCATCAGACGCCCAAATCAAAGCGTTGAAAAGACCAGCAGATGATACGCACACTGAAACGGAGTATGAAGACAAGAAGCTTAAAACAGACCAGGATGAAAGGAAATACCCCAAGAAAAAGGTGGCCCTGCTGATGGCATATTCAGGCAAAGGGTATTATGGAATGCAGGTGAGTTATGATGCAGCATAGTGATTTATATATTGCTGTGCTGTCCAAGCATTAATACTTGTCCTGTGCATCCAGAGAAATGCAAAGAACTCTCAGTTCAGAACCATTGAGGATGAACTGGTCACTGCTCTTGTGAGAGCCGGATGTATTCCAGAGGGCCATGGAGATGACATGAAGAAGATGTCTTTCCAGCGGTGTGCACGAACAGATAAGGTGAATATTTTAACCTAATGCTCAATTACTTACGTATTTTATAATCAAATATTGTATTTTATTATAGTGAGGGCTATTATAGGTAATTAAAACTACAATTAAACCATAAAACATTAAAACCAAAAACATTTCTAATTTATTGAGATGCACCAGTACATCATTTAAATGTTCTCAAACTTGCAGGTTACA